CATTTTATGCTGACTGCGCATAATTCCTGAGATGAATGACATTAGGTGAGCCAGTCACTGAAATGACTGTAGATTTATGTTGCTGACTCACTTTTGTGATAAGGAATAAATTGCCACCGGTGATAATTATAATAAAAACGTAGTTATTGAAGCTTGTGCGTGGGCTGTTCGTAGATGATAGAAAAGAAGTGATGATTTAAATAGCTCTAGAAAAATACATCTACGTTTATTTGTGAATTTGAAATGGTATCATTTATCAAAAAAAAAAAGAAAACTCATACTTTTAAAGGGGATAATCAGGCGCTTATTTTAGAAATCGACGATAACAGCTGAAAACAAACTCAGCCATATATCATTAAATTAAATTCATGCCTTAAAAGGCTATGGGTTGAAGTTTTAAATGCAAAGTCATGGTCGTCCAGATGCGTATTTAAATTTGTACGTTGTGTTTGAGTATGGGGGATTTTCAGTCAACTGATTTTTGACGGTCAGCGTTCAATTTATTAATCAGATGTGCGCGAAAACGCGCGCGCCTGTTAAGTCTCTCAGCACTCCTTTCAAACGTGAAACTGCCAATATAAATACACGGATTCGAAAATGCACACGCCTCCACGGACATGGTACCCTTCCTGAAATGCCTTTGCCGGTCATGTTACATTTCGTGAAAAACTTCGATTTGCTTGAAACTTGAACATTACAGAGGTTTCTCGTCTGGAAATGTGCAATGTAGAAATTTGCAGTAAGGTCTCTTGTGGCTTTTGTAGTGACTTTTTTCTATGTGCAGGTACTATGCCGTGGTAGTAATCACTCATAAATGAGCCTAGGGGTGTCAGGGCAAACCTAAAAAGCGGTTTATACTTAGCACGTGAGCGAACACACCATGTGAATTTATGACGTCAGAACAAATATTCGCGCTTTGGATTAATTACAGTTGATCACATTTCCCGTCGAGCGAAATTTTGCTACAAATCCTTCGCGACGTCCAGTTGCTTCGCTTTTACAATCGCCTGCAGTATGAACCAGAAAAAAACCAACAACTCGGCGTACAGAGGACTTGAGTAAGTCACGTGTCGGTGCGTTTCATTTCTGGATGATAGCCAAATAGAGTGGCGCACCCAAGGGGAGGACTTGAGGAAAGACAAAGATACAAAAAACACCAACATCTTGAACTACAAGCTCTGATACAGCCGTATAAATCCCAGTCCCCTCAGGCGCAACCGTGTGGAGGGCTGAAGCATCACGTGTTCGGTCCGAGCCCCCCCCCCGACAAATCCTGGGTGTGCCACTGGCCGAACGTATGAGGGAACATTATATTTAAACAATACATTGAGGCGGTGGTGGTATAGCAGCTGAGAAAGAATCTCCTAAAAATCTTTTTTAACTTGCCTAGGCCTATACTAGACAGGCCTGAGTGGGAGCGTATAACAGTAGGTCATGTCATCCGACTGCAGAATCTTTCGCTTAGGGCTTTTAAAAAGATTCTGCTGTGGTTCGAAACGCCAGGCCCCCAAATATTTTTTTGTTATTTTTAAAGGTGAGGTATAAGCCTACTTGAGTCGTTTCTAGTTTAGATTTTGCTGGTCAAACCATCAAGGTCGAACCACCGAAGTAGAACTTTTTTGAGCTCGAATTCCGTCATGTTGCCTCTTGGTCGTTAGTGGTTTTGTGGTTTGTTCACGCCTCTGCTAGGTAATTTTTTATGGATCTTTTTTTTCTCTTTGTATTGGAGTGAATTGTGCTGGATTTCCTACTGTAAATTGTCTTCT